ATTACTAACATGTTTATTTAACAATTGATAAATAGCATTCATATAATGCTTATTAAAAGTCATATGGGAAGCTCATAAAAAGCAAATCATTGATTAAGCATAAGCGTAATAAAATGAGCGTGATAAAAGTATCGATTATTCTATTCTCATTAGATCTTACAAATTATATCAGAATGAATCTAGAATCAAGATAACTCTTGGCGAAATGTGTGGATATTATAAAATTTCTCAACACGATAGAATATATGAAGCTTTAAGAAGGCATTTCCTTGTTAAACTTAGATTAAAAGTAAGTCAATCAATTGTGTAAGCAAAATAAAATCTCTTTAAATAATTATTATTGAATTGTATTCAAGTAGCAATATGAAGTTTCAGCTTTTGTAATCTATGAAAAAATGAACAAACAAAAAAATGAATTATCATAGAGAAAAGTTTTATGCATTTTATTGTAATCAATATATTTTTGAAGTTAAAAACGGAAAGAGAATTATGTATCATTATGTTATAAGATACATGGAATGTAATAGCAATTTTGCGAATAAGAATTTCTGAAACTTGATAAATTTTTATGAAAATAAGGTATATTAAGGAAATAAATGAATTAATTTGATTACTTTATAAATTATAAATTATCAAGTCTATTTGAATTAAATGTGAATTTTTATATAATCACAATAAATAAACATTTCATTCTATTATTTTTTAATAAAAATTTTTTTAATTATCTTTAATTTCAAACATTTTTTCAGATTCTCTTTTAAATTAACAATAACAATAATTGCAATGTCAAAACGTTTTTATTTTTCTAGTTGCTTTCAATTTAATTTCAAAATTCATTTAAATAAAATTTATAAATTTTGCAGATAATAATTTATTTCTCAAACGTTAATGATTCCGATAATGATTTTTCATAAAATATTGCAATTGCAAAGATTCAAGATACCCTTCTAGAGGAAGGAAGTGAGAATCACAGTAGATCAAGAGGTTTGACATACAAAATCATTTATTCATATAAAAGGACACTTTATACTAGCACGTACTGTCAAAACTATCCTACTTCCATACAGTCGGGACCACCGAGATATCCTCGGCTCACTCGTTTCTTTATGTATCACATATTATTATACGCGGCAACCGATAACGGATTATGCTTTGAATAAGGGTTGTGATAATTGTCATTCTGTTCTCATTGTAATCGAATACAAAGTATGAAGAAAGAAGAAGATAGGAAGAAAAAAGGAAAACAAACAAACAAAAATAGAAAAAGAAACGGATAAAATAAATCCATCACGAGCATAGTGAGTATATTCGCGTACTGTGCGTAGTTATTCGCCTCGCTATTCACAGCATGATCAATTTTAATCTACGCTCAGGCTTCCGTATGAAATTTGTTTTCTTTTATCGAAGAACGTAGTCTGAGACGTAGAAGACGTATTGGCACCAGATAAAAATTGGTCATTCTGTGTATAAATATCATGTATTTTTTTTTTCTTATATTTATATATATATTTATATATATATATATATAAAGTTCGCGTGAACTCGTTCTCGTTGGTAAAGAACACGTCCGTCGATTGATCATTGTTCGGTTGATACGACGGGAAAGATTTTTCACCAATGGCGAGCACGCTATTGTTAATTAATTACATGCATCCTATGTGTTTCACCATAATAATTAATATATCTTACGGTAAGAGTTATACATGTATATCAATATTAAACGTTATTATATCGTAACCACACGATATTCGGATTTTTTTTTTTTCTTTTACTTTCGGTACGATATCGCTATGAGTGTATAATGTGTAAATTATCAAAGATAAATACTAGGCTCGACTAATTACTAGAATCGTTAGCTTAGAATGAGCCGATTCGATTGCGCGTAAGTACTGAATCACGATATTGGCTCTCGTCGCAAATTAATTGTATTAAAACCGTTTTGCGAGTGATTCTATCTTCGATCTTTTGTGTCGTAAGGTTTGAAAATTGGCGGGAAAGGGATTTCAAATCGCCGAGAAACTTTACTTTCGTTTCAGTTGTCGAGTGTATTTTTCGATACGCTTCGAAAAAAAAAAAAAAAAGAAAATGAAAAATGTTCTTTTTGAATAGACGCGTTATTGAGAATTTGCGTTTTTCCAATGAAAAACGTGGAGTGGCTACCCGACCGTGTGAAATGTACAAACAGTGGCTGGTCTGGGTTTTCAGATACTTCTTCCAAAATTTTTTTCTCTTACATATATATAGTAAAATTCAAGATATAACACTAGAACTACCAATTCCGTTAAAATGGCAAATTCTTTGAAGTGCATTTATTACAAATATATAAGTGTATTTGGCAAAATGAATTTTGACTTTTATCTAAACACGATTATATTTATAGTTATTTTTATTATATTTATTTTATTTCCATTATATCACTTTAACTATAATTATATGTATATTTAATATATTTATGTATATTTATGTACACGTTAGAGATTGGTCGTTCCAATGTTAATCGATCAAATTTCTCAAATTTTATTTTCTATTCCTTATTTTAATATAAATGCAACTTGGAATGCTAATTTTAAACCTGAGTCAAGAAATGAAACGCGTTGCTTTTCACATTTTCTCGTATACAAAGTTTCGTTATAAATCTTTAAACTTCAAATTGCGGAGTTTCCCTTAAAAAATCGACTCGTATAATTTCCATATATATTTAAACTTTATTTATCGGACGTGTAGCGTTGTTACGTATGTATATGATAAATCTTGGAGACAATGACAGTATGGCCACTTGTATCACGATCGAGTTGCCATTGGAAGCACTATAACATTTCAGCATTATTTCTAATTCCGTTTAATTTTTCCCGACGAGAATTTTTCACGCGACGCGGGTTCGTCCGCGTGTTTACGAGCTAAGAACGAACGAACGAACGAACGAACGAACGCGTGCACAAGAAAAGAATCGACGGGAAAGTTTCGCTCGGGGACTGAGTGAGAATTCTTTCAAGGAAGACACAGAGAAAAAACGACTTTTAGACTCTCTATCGGTCTGATATCGTTGGCTTATTAAATTACAAAGAGAATGTTATTATTCAGCGTTCGTTCTATTACATCTAAAAAACGGCCCCTAAGTTCCGAAGTCTCAAAGCGTGTTTGTCACTATGTGTTTGCACATTCGGCTCCCTTTACACACGCGGATCAACACTTCCTCTTCTTCTGTTGCTCAGGTGTTTTTTTTTTCTTCACGCGCATCACGCACGTGTGTATGTATGGCTTATTATTTTATTTAAAACGTAAATCAAAAACTCTAATTGACTTGTTTACACGGAATAATCGCGGGAGGAGAATTCGACACATTGATCCCGCGACACTTTGAGACTAGAGAACGAAGAGGAACAAATGTATATCGTTTCAGAGGCATAATTAATATCATATACTTTCGTACAAACGTATAGAACATCGTTAAGTGTTTGTTATTTTTAAAGGGGGGTACAGTGTGTATAAAGAATCGTATAAATGTATATATTTATATTTATATATATATATTTATATATATATGTATAATGACGCCAGCTCGCCGGAGAAGCAAATTCGCGATCGGTCCTCCGCGCGAGCCGCTGTTTGAGCTTTGAGATACGCGTACCTTTCGTCTTTCTTGTCTTTCTTGCTTCTTTTTTTCCTTTTTTTTTTTTCCATTTTTTTCTTTTTATTCTTTAAACGTATAAATGTACCATGCACACACGCGCACGCACACATGCAAACGCGGGTGCTCGAATACGATCTTCTTTTTATTGCACGCTACGGGGGATGGATTTTCGTATCGCTCGTTCGTATTGGATTCGTATGGTATAAAGTACAAACGATTTTATCGAGTTAAGTTTAGCGTTTCAACGAACAAGCGATATCGCGTTAAGAGGAAGACTAAGGAGATATATATATATATATTATAAAAATTCCTCCAAAGAGGAGGAATGTTGTGCGTTCAGAAAAAACAGTTTGGAAGAACGATAATTGATAATTGAAAAAATTCGTCATGGATCTGCGACGTTGTTGTGTATTATAATCTTTCCGATCGTATCCCAGCACGCGTGGAACGTCAGCAGACGCGAGTAAATGTGGACTGATTGTAAGCGCACGACGCGTGTCAGCCGTGTAACGATCAAGATCTATCGCGATCGTGGGGCAAGATCGCCGTCGATCATCGTTGTTCAAGTTTTTTTACAGTGGTATTACAAGAGCAATGTATTATTACATAATATACGTGACCATTCTCATCTCTTAATTAATAATTCTCACGCAATTATTGATCGCACATGGGAGACCAGTACGACGAGCTTCTCCCAGCTCGTTGATAAAGATCTTTCTGATCGTATCCCTCGCACGATCATGACCGATTGCTGTTACAATGTCCACTGTAAAAGAGAAATCGTTCCGTGATCGTTTGTCGATAACACAGATTCCTATTATTTTCTTCGCATTTTTTTTATTTATATATTTTTTTGGTCGCGCTCGATCGGAACGCTCTTTTATACGTTTGTTTCCCATCACCACGTTTAATTCCTAAATGACGATATTCCCATTTTTTTTTTTTTCCAAGCTTCAACGACGATGATCGCGGCTATATTCAGCGCCAGCTTGACTGTCACGGAACGAAAGTTTAGTGCCGCTGTTCGGCACTGACGAAGGCACAGTCATAAGTCTCGTACGTTTAGCAACATTATCTTTTTTTCTTTATCGCTTCTTTTCCTCCATAATTGTTATTTTTTTTATTGGTGAAAAAAAAAAAAAAAGAGAAAAATTAATGGCGTGAAACGTGCAACTATATAACGAAATATTTCTTTCTTTCTTTCACTATATCCCTTCTCGTTCCACCGATTTATTTCTTCTTTCCGATCGTATCCCAGCGAAGGGATATAGTTTTACGTTTGGCACCAAAAAAAACGAGCCTTGTTTTTACGCAGAGTTAAATTCTTCGTTTCTTTTCTTTTCTTTTTTTTTTTTTTTTTCTTAGTCCTTCCGTTACACGTACTCATCTCTCTCTCTCTTTCTCTCTCTCTCTCGTTCTCTATTCCTATTCTCATTCTCCCCCTCTCTTTTCTTTTCTTCTTTATATAACATAATATTATATTATAATATAAACGTTTACGGTTTTGGCCACTCAGTTCGTGATCGCAGAAGCACATTACAGTCTGTGTTCCCGCGATATTTAGATAGTTTAGAATATTTTTAATTCACTTTTATACAACACTGATCCAGCTCTCTAGACTTCCTTTTTCCCTTGTATGTTCGTCCAAAGGATCCCCGGGATCTCGTTGGACGGCTCATCTCCTCCTTCTCGCCGTGGCCGCCGCTATCATTTGCCTCAACATCGGTTCCGGGCTGCACACTCGTGGATCACATTTCATGTTCCCGTCACCACCGCAACTGAAATTTTAAATTATTCGAACGGTAAACGATGCGAGAAAGACTTTAAAGAAGAAAAAAATGATTTAAGTAACTTACGTGCACTGAAGGCAAGGTCCGGACGCGGACCTAATGACTTCTCCAACGCGATACGCTTGGCCGCGAATCTGACATCCGCTTCGTTTCGCTGCTCCTTTGTATGCATGGGCATGGAAATGAGGTGGTAACGTGGTCGTGGTCGTGGTCGTTGTCGTGGTGATGTTGAGCGACGTGGCCATCGACACCGGGCACTCGTATCTCGGACAGCAGAAACCGCTGATCGGCTCCTCGTGGCAACCTGGGATCGGTGGTGGGCAGCTCTGCTGCAGACAGATGATGTCGCTTCTGAAGCAGAAGCAGAAGTCGCAAGGATCGTCCCTTGGTATCTGTTGAGCCGAGACGTAGACTTTGCCGCCGTATCGGCAAGTGCCTGGTCCGTAAATCGCCTGGTCATCCTCGTCGTAGTCTTCATTCGACAGATAACTTCCACCGTGCGTCGGGAAGTGCGGATTCTCCTCTCCAGATACCTGGTCGGAGTACTCGGGTATCTGAGGGGCTAATGTACTCGTTGGCTGGTGAAGGGTGGGTTGGACGGGTCGTTCAGTGGCTTCGAACGTTTGGTTCATCGACGGAAGGTGATGATCCGATGAGCCTTCGGCCGATTCTTCTTTCTCGGTCGTCGAGCCGGAAGTTTCTGGCAATCCAGGTTCTTCTACTTCTCCCTCCTGTTCCTCTTCGCTCGATTCGGCGAGAGACGGCTCTGTTGGAAGCGGATGAGCCTTCGTCGTGGGCTCTTCGACGGACGCCTCGGTCGATTGTTGATCTTCTTCAGGTTTTGGGGAAGCTTCTTCCTCTTTGGGCTCCTCCGGAACCGTTGCTGGTTCCACGGTGCTCTTTTCTTGAGGCTGTTCCGTAGATGCTTGGACCGCGGGATGTTCTTCGGGAGCCTTTTCTGGTTCTGCCATCTCTTCTTCGTGTTCCGTAGTAGAAGTTTCGACTGTAGGTTCGATGGAAGGTTGAGCTTCCGGCATGCCAGGTTGCGCTTTCGTTACGCCAAGTTGTGCCTCCTCCGAAGGTTCCGCTTCCTTAGTCGTATATTCGTGCACCTCGGGCGCGATTGTAGTTTCCGTCGATTCGGTTATGGGGTTCGGCTGCTCTTCTTGAGGAGACGTCGCTTCAACTTCAACCGCTGCTGTAGTTGGTCGCGCCAACTCTTCTTCCTCACTGGTTGGAAGCTTGGTCGCTTCTTGAGGAGCTTCGGTCGCGGCTTGTTCGGGTAATTGTTCCTTGAGAGAAAGATCTTCCGTAGTTTGAGAAACTTCTTCTTCTTCTTCGGGCCTAGCTGTTTGTTGTTCCCCTTCGACTGTTGGTTTTTGCTCTTCCGTCACTTCGACAGGTTTTTCTTCTTCTGATAGAGTCTTTTCCGTCGTTTCCGCAGGCTTTTCTTCTTCAGGAGGAAGCTCCTTTTCCGTCGTCTCGGCTGGCTTCTCCTCTTCGGGAACAAGCTTCTCGGTCACTTCAGCAGGCTTTTCCTCCTCAGGAACAATCTTTTCCGTTGTCTGAACTGGCTTTTCTTCTTCGGGAACAACTCTTTCCGTCACTTCGACAGGCTTTTCTTCTTCCTCGTGAAGAACTTTTTCTGTGGTCACAACTGGCTTCTCTTCCTCAGGAACAATCTTCTCCGTTACCTCGCCAGGTTTTTCTTCTTCCGGAATAATGTGCTCCGGCACTTCTGTAACTTGGTCTCCTGCCGCTTCAGTAGGTTGAGTTTTTGTCGATATTTCAGGAACTTCCTTCTCCGATGTCTCGGTAGTAATTGCTTCTTCTTGCGCTTCGGTTGGAACTTCCTTCTCAGAAACTTCTTCGACAGGAATTGCTTTTTCAGGTAGTTCGGTCGAATATTCCGGCGCCTCTGGTGTTGCAGCTTTCTCTGGTGGAACCTCGGAAGGAAGTTCTTGTTCTGGAGCTTCCGTGGAAGGCGCTATCTTCTCAGGAGCTTCCGTAAGTTGCACAGGCTGTTCGGTGGAAAGCGCTTGTTCCGGCATTTCGGACGATACTTCTTCGGGAACTATCTTCTCTGGCACTTCGGTTGGACCAGCCTCGAGAGGTGTCTTGGAAACAGTCGCTTTTTCGATCTCCGCTGCTGGAGTCGTTTGTTCTTCTCCCTTTTCTTCTTCCATCGGTCTCGCTGTCCCTTCTTCCATCGATGGCGCTTCAGTCACTTCTGGAATACCCTCTTCCGGTTTCCTTTCAGTCACGGAAGCTTGTTGCTCCTCTGAAGGCAGAGTTACTTCACTTGGCACAGTTGTCGCTTTCTCTTCCGGTATTCCTTCCGTTACTACTTCAGGTTTCTTCTCTTCCTTCTCTTTCGACTCTTCTGGTGAAATTGGGCTTGGAGTATAATCCATCGGAGAAGGTGTCTCGCTAGATTGCTCTTCGCTCTTAACTTCCTCACCTTCCACAATCGATTTCTCAGTTCCCTCCTCGGGTTTCTGTGTCTGTTCAGGAGCGATTGTTGCTTCCTTCTCAGCTGGCACCGCAGATTCTGTCGCTTGTTCCTCCTTCTCCGTCACTTGTTCCGCAACTTCAACCGGCGCTGTAGTTTCAGGCGTTTCTTCGCCTTCGACAGAGACTGCTTTTTCGGTCGTTACGTGTTCCTCTGGTTCAACGCTTTCTTCCTTAACTCTCTCCGTAACTGTTTCTTCGGTAACAGGTGCCACCGTTTCTTTCTCGATAGCAGCAGCAGGTTGTTCAGTTTGTTCTTGAGGCAAAGTCGCTTCCACAGGGGCAGCTTTCACCGTGGTGGCTTCATGCGCAGCTTCCGTAATCGTTTCCTGAGAAACGGAGGATGATGTAGCTTCCTCTTCGCCAGACGGAGCAGGAGTTTGTTCCTCTGCTGGTGGAGTTGGTTCGGACGAAGGTAAAGCTTCCTCTTCGGGCTTGCTTTCGACGACGGTTGGTCGCTGCTCTTCGGTGACACCCTGTTCTTCAGTCGTTTCCTTCGTTTCGATAGGTATCGATGGTTCTTCCTCGCTGCTCGTCTCGACAGATTCGGTCGAGCTTGCCACTTGTTCCTCGGTTTGCTGTTCAGGTATCTCCGTATGCTGCTCCTCTGCAGTCACTGCTTCCGTAGTCACCTTGAGCGTGCCTTCAGGTGCAACTGTTTCTTTGGTTTGTTCGCCTGCTAAAGTAGTAGGTGTTAAAGGTTGTTCAGTTCCAACGGGTTCAGTTCCAACAGCCTGTTCCTCCGTTGAAGGAATCTCTGATTTCTTTGGAGCTTCTGCCTCGCTTGGTGTCGTGACCTCTCCTTCCTCCTGAGGTGCTTCAGTTTTACTTGGTTCTTCCTTAGTCACGCCAGGTTCAGTTATTTCCTCTGACGCCGGAACTTCTGTAGAGATTTCCATTTTTGTCGTTCCAGGTGTTTCACTTTCGATGGGCTTAACGGTTTCCTGTTCCACAGGAGTAACTTCTTGCTCTGGAGTGGATGGTTCCACGGTTGGAGGAGATGGTTTTTCTGATTCACTGGGTTGGACAGTCTGCGATTCATCCTCTGGAGTAGGCTGTTCAGGTTGTTCTTTCCTTTCTTCTTCGGGTTGTGTTACCGATTCCGCACTCAAAGTTGTTCCTTCTTCCAACGGTCTCTGAGTTTCGCCACTTTCCTGTGGCTGGCCTTCTGGTACGAGGGTAGAACTTGGAATTTCGGACCTTTGGCTCGTACCTTCTTCCGAGATCGCGGGAGAGACGGTCACTTGTTCTTCACCCTCTGCAGGTTTTTCCTCTTCTTCCGGTGGTTGTTCACCCGTTGATTTCGCCGTGGTAGCAGCTTCCTTTTCAATTCCAACGGAAGTTTCTTCTTCTTGAATCGGTTGCGTCGTCTGTTCCTCGCCTGCTGCCGGACTCGAGGGTTGTTGCTCTTCGGGAACATGTTTCTCGATTGGCTGTTCAGGGGATGGCACCTCCGTTGCTTGCTCTTCCTGTTCTTCCACGCTCTTTACCGAACTGCTCGGTATTTCTGATGAAGTTTCCTCCGAAGGTATTTGACTAGAAGACTCTACCTGCACCGGAGGCACTACTGGGCTAAGAGTATGCTCTTCGGCCTCTTTGGCACCTTCCACGACAGTGGAAGTCGCTTGAGTGTGGTCAGGTTCGACAGATTTCGGTGTCGTTTGCGCTTCTTCTGCCAAACCAGGCGCAGCAGTCATCTGTTCGCCTGTTTCCTCGCCGGGTATTATTTTCGGCGCTACGGTGGTCGAATGCTCTTTCACTTCGACGCCCTCCGTTGTTCCTTCCTTAGGAAGTTCCGCCTCTAGAGGTGGTACGGTCTTCTGTTTCTCCTCCTCTTCGTATTTAGGCGTTTCATGCTCGATCATGTGATTATCGGACTCCAAGCCAGCGGTTGGCGTCGAGTCGCAAGCGTACATCGGGCAGCAAGAATCTTTACCGATGTGAAGCGGCATACAATTCGACAAGTGGCTCGGGGGCGGTGGACATTGAACCAGGTCGCACTGAATAATACTGCTGACGCAACGGCAAGCGAGTTGACAAGGATTCGACGGAGGAATCGCAGAGTTGTTGCTGTAAGATTGACCTTCGACGAGACAATTGCCCTCTCCTGGAATTGTTGGTGGTATATGATAAGGAGGCTGCGTCGATACCTCTTCTTCGGGTATTCCTCCAGCCAACGTGGATTGCTCGACGACTCCTTCAGTCCCGACTTTTGACGATGTTTCCGTGTACGGGGTAGTTTCTGGAGTTTCTCCTTCCTTAGGTGCAGACGTTGCTTCTTCTTCTATAATCTTTTCTTCCAACATTGGAGCCTCGGTTTCTTTTTCTCGAGAAATTTGCGTTGTTCCCTCTTCTCTCGATGGAGCTTCGGTTTGAACTTGTTCAGGAACAGATACCTTTTGTTCTTCTTCCGCTGGACTGGTTTCCTCGGAAGGTGACGCAGATTCGGTCGGTGATACTTCAGTCACGATATTTTCTTCGGTGGATATTTTGCCTTCTTCTTTGATTGTTTCTTCGCTTGGAACAGCCGCTGTTGTCGCTTCAATAGGTGATTCTGGTTGTTGAGTGCTTCCTTCTTCGATGGGCTGTTCTGGAATTTGTTTAGTAGGTTCTGTAGAAGGTTCGCCATGATCGATGGGAGCTTCCGTTAATTTTTCCTGCGGTGTGCCAGCAATTTCTGTTTGCGTTTCTTCCGTGGGCGAAGGAATTTCTTCTTTCGGAGCGATCGTGGAACCCTCTGGAATCTCTTTTGGAAGCTCTGTCGATGCTTCAGCTATCTCTTTAGGAGCAGACGGGCTAACAGTTTCTTCTACAATAGGAACTTCGGTAGATAGTGGTTCGGCACTTTCAGAGGGTTTCTCTTCTATCGTAGGACCTTCAGTTGAAGTTTCAACTGGTACAGTTTCTTGAGAGGGTGCGACTTCGCTTGGTTTTTCTTCCGCAACAGGTTCCACAGTTGTCTTTTCCTGTTCAACAGGTTCGACAGGTTCGATAGATGGTTTCTCTTCCTCGGCAATCTTTTCAGTTGGCTCTTGTTTTTCCTCTTCTATTGGTTGTTCAGTTGGCTTCGCTTCTTCAGTAGGTTTTTCTTCTTCGATAGGTCCTTCAGTTTGTTGCACTTCTTCTTCTTCTTCTTTTTTAGGCTGTTCACTCGATTCCTCTTCTTGTACAGGCGCTTTAGTTGATTTTTCTTCCTCGCTAGGTTTCTCTTCTTCAGGCGCCGTTGATTTTTCCTCTTCAATAGGACTTTCCGTTGGTTTTTGTTCTTCAACAGGCAATTCAGTCGATACTTCAATTGGTTTTTGCTCTTCAGTAGGTTGTTCTTCTCCTATAGGTTCTTCAATTGGTTTATGTTCTTCCGTAGGTTGTTCTCCTTCGAGAGATTTTTCGGTTGGTTTTTCTTCCTCAACAGGTTTTTCCGTTGGTTTCTCCTCCTCAATAGGTTTTTCTTCTTCTTCAACAGGTTCCTGAGTCGGCTTCTCTTCTTCTCCCAATTTTCCTTCCTCCTCGACACGTTTTTCTTCTTCCATGGGACTTTCTGTTCCTTTCTCCTCTTCTATTGGCTTTTCTTCTTCTTCAACAGGTTTTTCGCTCACCTTTTCTTCTTCCACAGGTTCAGTTGGCTTCTCTTCTGTCGTCTTTCCTTCCTCGACCGGACTTTCGGTCGGCTTTTCTTCTTCCGCGTGTTTCTCCTCTTCAATAGTCGGTTCTTCGGTTACTTTTTCACCTTCTACTGGCTCTTCAGTCGGTTTTCCCTCAACAGATTTCTCTTCTTCCTCCTTCGTTGGTTCTTCACTAGGTCGCTGCTCTTCACTAGGTTGCTCCTCGGGTTGCTTCTCTTCTTCGATAGGCTTTCCAGTTACTTCAGCTTCCTCTGGCACTGCAGTCATTTCTTCCTCCCCTGCAGGCTTTTCAGTTGTCCTCTCTTCTTCAAGAGGTGGCTTCTGAACGCCTTCTTCCTTCTCGGATGGCTCTTCAGCACCTTTCACGCTTTCTTCATCCTCTTTACGCTCGCTGATAGGAGATTTAGTGTGCTCCTCCACAGGAGTTTGAGTTCCTTCCTTCTCTGCTCCTGCTTCTGTCATCGTCTCTTCCGTCGATGGAGACGCAGCTGCAGGTCCTTCGGTTTGTTCTTCTTCTTCCTTCGTAGGCTCCTCCGTCTTCCGTTCTTCTTCTTCCTTCATAGGCTCCTCCGTCTTCCCTTCTTCTTCTTCCTTCGTAGGCTCCTCCGTCTTCCGTTCTTCTTCTTCCTTCGTAGGCTCCTCCGTTTTCCGTTCTTCTTCTACCTGTTCAGTCGTTTCTTTGGTTATAGGCGCTTCGGTCTGTGTGACAACAGGCTGTTCCGAAGACTCTGGCGTTTCTGTCTTTCCTTCCATGGACGCCACTGTTGGATGAACTTCGATCGTTAAACTTCCTTCCGTTGCTCCTTCAGCCTCCTGAGTTGCTGGCGTGCTTTCAGGTATAGCTTCTTTCGGAACTTCTTCGAGAGGTTTCTCGCTCGCTTCACCTTCTTCGCTAACTACGGGTACTGTGCTTATCTCTTCGCCTTCTGCTGGTTTAGCGGTAACAGGAGCTTCCTCTTTGCCAGCAATTGGTTTCTCAGTCACCTGTTCTTCGGCAGCTTCCGAACCGACTTCAGGCTTCTCGCTTGGCACACCTTCTTCTGGCGCAACAGTGACTCGCTCTTCTTGTTCGGTAACAACTTTCTCTTCTGGGACCACTTCTGTGGATCGTTCTTCTCCGCTTGGAGCTTCCGTCGAAGGAGCTATCGGGGCACTTTCTGTACTTACTTTCTCAGTTCCAACAGTCTGTTCCTCGACTGCTGGTTGTTCCGTCAGATGCTCCTCGATTGCTGGTTGTTCCGTCGGATGCTCCTCGGATACAGAAGGCTGAGTTGGCGTCTCTGACGGATGTTCCTCGGGTCCCTTCTCCGTCTCAATCGGTTTCTCTTTGCTAACTTCCTCACTGGAATCGTTCACTTCCTCGGATGAAGTTACTTCTTCGGATTCCTCGATAGTCAATCCCTTCGTCGGCAGCTCTTCCTTGGAAGTTTCCTTCGTGGGCGAAACCTCGGAAGACGAGGTTTCCGTGCTCTGCTCCTCCTGTAAGCCAGGTTGTTCCGTCTGTTGAGCCTCTTGTTCCTGTGAAGGTTGCTGCGTTGTCGATACCTCGACACTCGGCGCGGGTTGCTCGGTGCCTTTAGGAGCTGCTTCCGTCGCTTCTTTCTCTTCGCCTGGAACCTGATCGCTTTCGGTAACCGAGGAAACTTCTTCTTCACTCGCCTTTCGTTGCGGCTCCGTCGTGGATCCTTCTTCGGACAATTGTCCCCTCATCGTGGTCCCTTCTTGCTCGATAGGCACTGTTTGCTCTTGCTTAGGAGCGGACGTCGTTTCGTGCTCTTCCGGTAGATACGTGGACGAAGGTTCCTTGGCCTGAGGAGCCTCGGTCACGAGGTTGCTCGGTACGTGAAATTCTGGCGGCTTCATATCAACGTAGCCCTCGGTAACCTGCATTTCGGTCACCGCTTCCTTGTCCTCTGCTTTGCTTTCAGGTATACGCTCCGTGATCGAAATTCCTGTCGGACCCTGTTCTGGGATCACCGGCGTTTCCTCCTCCTCCTCTTCAGCCTTTTCACCCGTAAACGGTTTCTCGCCGGCCTCTGGAGAAATAGGTTCCGGAGGAATTTCAGGAGGGATCGCGTCTTCCTTCTTAGGAGCCACGCCTGTCTTATGTTCGTGTACCACTGGCTGCTCCGTTTCTGCCGCAGCTTCCGTGGTCGCTTCTCGTTCTACGCCATGTTCCGTTGGAACAACACCCGCCTCTGTAGGCTGCTGCTCCGTGCTGACTTCCACCATTGGCTTCTCTTCCTCTTTCTTCTCTTCCTCTTCTTGCACAGGAACTTGTTCGGTACTTGGAGCTTCTGGGACAGATTTTTCAGTGGCCACCTCTGTTTCAGGCGTGGCCGCTTCCTCTGCACCTTTCTCTTCGCCAGGCACCACCGTCGTCCCTCTTTGTTCCTGCTCGGACACGATCGCAGGGCCTTCCGTTTCCTTCACCGCCTCCGTCACTTGTTCTTCGCTCAAACCCTTCTCCGTTGTCGCCTCAGGGATCGAGGATGTTTCCTTCTCCTCGCTTGGAAGTTCAGGCAACCGCGTGGACTTTTCAACCGGCTGCTCCTCCTCCAGAGCTACAGAGGACTCGGAGGTGACGCTTGGCTCTTCTTCCTTCTCTCCCTCGCCAGGAACGAGGCTTTCTTCCTCCGTTGGTTTCGCTTCTTCCTCCTTCTCGCCGCTTGCTGGTAACTCAGGCCGTTCTCCCTTCTCCACTCCTCCTACGGTCTGCGCTTCTTCCGGTACTATTGCCTGCTCGGTAACCACCTGTTGCTCTTCCCCTTCTTTCACTTCTCGAGTAGTTTCTTCTGCGGGTGTAGTAGCCAGTTCCTCGCCCTTCCCCTCTTTTTCCTCCGTCGCCCCCGCTTCCTCGGGAAGTGGCGTCGACTCGGCTGCCACCGCACCTTCGGTCGCGTATTCTTCCGTGATACCAATTTCTTTTCCAGTCGACGCCTCTTCCTTCTTCGGCTCCTCCGTGGACGACGCGCCCTCGACGGGCAGCTCGGTGCTCGCGGCCTCGTGGTCTTGAGGTATCACGTTGTCAGAGCCGGGGAACGACTCCTCCGTCGTTTCGGCGAGTTGTTTCTCAATTGCTTCCGTTACCGCAACAGTGGTCTCCTGAACGTGTCCCTCGGTCGTCGAGTATCGTTCCTCGCCTCTCGGTAACGTCACCACCTCTCCGTCATCTTCTATGCGACAAAGAACAAAAGTTTATATATATATATATACACTATGAAGGTAGTCTCTCGGGATCGGATCGATAAAAGGAGGCGCGTCTCTTACCGCACTCGTACGTGGTCGGGCAACACTCCCCTTCGGGCGGTGGCAGGGCCGTGCAGTTCTTTCCGTGAGTCTTCATCGGTGTCCCGCAATCTTGGACGGCGCACGCGATGTCACCGTGGAAACAATAGCAGTGCTGACAAGGCTGGGTCGAGTATATCAAGTCACCGCCCTCGTAAACCTTTCCCTCGTGGTAGCATTGAGACGTGGTCGCCCCGGGGGCCATCGTTGTGGTCATGATGAGGCCGGGCGTTGGTTCAACCGTCGTCGCTTGTTCCTCGTCGTATTCTGAGAAATTAATCATTATTATTATTAAAAGTATATATCGGGAAAATTTGAAAGCGAAGCGTGCCAATTATTAATAATAAGATCTATTTCTCTCTTACTTTCTTCCCCACTCGACTCACCGCAATTGTATTTGACAGGACAGCATACACCCGGTTGATAGACCGGCCTGCACCCTGCCACGCGCAAAGTACACTCCTGCATGACGCAGGTTGTCCTGTTCCTGATGCAGTAGCAGAGCTCGCAAGGATTCTGAGGATCGGTGGGCAGTTGGGCACCGTCCGCGTAGAACCTGTCGTCCACGTTGCACCCGTAATTGTCGTGGAACCCGACCGCCGTGGAGCCGGAAGTGGATGGCGCGCTAGTGGTGGAGGTCAACAACTGTACCGGCACCTCTGGACAGGTGATGACCGGGCAGCATTGATCCGGCCGTTTCTCAACCGTGCAATCCTGGCCGATCGCTTTCGTGAACGGGCAAACCCTGAGGTAGCACATCAGCATTCGATTGTGGCACGTGCAGTTTAAACACGGCTCGTTCGTGATGATTCTGTCCCCCTCCTTGTAGTGCTGGTAGTTGTAGTAGCATCCGGAAGTGGCTGCGAATTTCATCCGAAATTTTTCCTCAGATAAATCATCGTTTCTCCGAGTTTTTCGAGAATTCGAATTATCTTTCTCGATCTTCGAGATTACCAATGAGATGAAGAGATTCCGTAGAGAGGATATGTGTATATATTATATACGTACGTACGTACGCACGGTGTTTCAAAGAGCCTGTCTGGGAATATGTGACACGGAAGCATCGAAGCGCGGTTCTTAATATTCATCGAAAGGATCGATTGAAAGCGGCACCGTGTAAGAATCGTTAAAACGGCACGTGTCGTGTCGTCTCGTCCGAATGCGATACAATTAACGTCACGTCGGTGGCGTGCGCGTACGTTGATTAGAAGTAATGAAACTCGCCAAGTCGTACGTACCTCCATCGTATTCCGCTACTTGTGTGGTATCCTGGTCGTAAACGGGTGCTGCGACAGAAAAAGAAAAAGAAAGGCGCATTTTTATTAAACGTACGATCGATAAAATTGGGATAATGGAGGGAGGGATGGGAAGAAAGGAACGATGTCGAAAATTCCAGAGGTGGGATCTGCAAATAATCTTAGTAAAACTCGTAGTTTCCCATGAAATTCAGGGGGGAAGGAGAGGAGGAAAGAGACGAGCCGTGTCTCTGGGCGCAGTTTATCATAGTAATTACCGGCGGGATGCGTTTGTCCGGAGGGTGAACACGGCTTAACAACGGAGTGAGTCAAAGCGTCATATGGCGCGAGCGTACGTGGGCGAATTCTCGTTAACACCCTCGCCCCAGTCGAACGAATTGTATGCGCGTGGAATTCTTTTTCCCCTCTTTCTTTTCTTTCTTTCTTTCTTCTCCCTCTGTTTCTCTCTCTCTCTCTCTCTTGTTCCTCGCCTTTCGCCTCGCTTTATCTTTATCCCTCTAATTTTCAACGTCGACGGTTAGAAGAAAAGAAACGCACGTGCACGAATAACCCCTCCGACCTCTCGTTCCTCGTTTCTTTTTTTCTTCCCGTTCCTCGTTTCTTCTCTCGTTCTTGCGGGGCGTTTTCGCAATTTCTTCGGAATTGAAGTGTCGCGGAATCGAGAGGGGAGAGAAGGGGAGGGGGGGAGACTCGAGAGTTCGATTGTTCGTGAAACGGCACCCTACAGCCATTCTTCCCCACTCGGACAATAAGCTTCGCGTTCTCTCCTTTCTAGACTTTCAGTTTATTGCGAATTTCAAGCGGATAAAGTCTTTTTTCTTCTTTTTTCGAAAGAGAATTCCTCGTTGAGAAAGAAGTGGATGCTATTGATAAATTGAATCATTGGATTGGATATAATAATAATAATAACAATAATAATAATAATGGATGATAAATGCGGGAAGAAATTTCCCGTTGATATGATGTCTGAAGTAACGTGTGAGCGAAATGGGTGGATAGCGTACGAATTCGTAAATGACGGCGTCGTCCTCTTTACGAAACTCACTGCCTGTACTTTCTTCTTTTCTTTTCTCTTCTCTTCTCTTCTTTCTTTCTTTCTTTCTTTCTTTTTTTTTCTTTGAAAACCGTCCAGGAACTCTTTGTAATGCGCGAAACGTCCCTTGTACGCGGTATACGTGCATTGCGAGGCGAAGGACTCGAATGTCCAGTATAATCCCTTCATTGAACGTACCGGGTTGGCAGATTTATTACATGGCGCTGAAGATTGTTCCCGAACGTTTTTTTATAGCTCGTATGACGATCTCCTTTGTTTTAAATCGACTGTCGCCTCCCCACCTGATAAATTTTAATGGCCGAGTTTCGAAAAAGTCACGATCACGCGCCCGAACGGGATCCAATCATCGCTCAAACTTTTTCAATTCTTCGATCGATCAAATATTTCGAAACTAACACGAAATTATAATTGATTGAAATTAAATCGAATTAAATTCCTCCAACCCACTTTCTTCCATTAACCGATAACAAAATTTCCACGAAAAGCGTCCTTCCTTACCGACCTCGATATCCAACGATATCTACGATCTTCTCCTCGAAAGAAAAATTAACAAAATCCCCCTCTCCTCCAAAACACAAAAATTGTCCAAGTTTCCGCGAAGCGAGGGGATAAACTCTGTCGGGAGGAAGGCGTGCGCGGCCGATCCTCCAGCTGGCACACGGCTGGGAACAAAGTTGAGGGCGGTTGAGTCGTTGCTCGATCGGAAGTCCGCCCGCGACCCGAAGGCGCGAGGTTGAAATGCGCGGCGCGTGCGTTTCCGCAAGGTGTTCCCGAGAGGAGAGGATTCGCGTTTCCACGGTACGTGCCTCGCTCGCCGGCCGAGCCAACGCATATTCGAGAATCATGCATTCCGCGACTGTGCGGGGCGTGCACCGGCCGTCCGTTTCCAACGAATTGAATTGTACTGGGAAGCGCGCCGGGGTCCGTGAATGGAAGGGCCGTCCGTGTCTCTGTCGCGAGTCCCACGAGCCGGGTCCCCAGCCGCGTGCCTCCACGTTACAACGGGGGGGGCCCCACGTGTTACGCGCACACGCACACGCACACGCACGAGAATCGTCTCGCGCGAGCCGGGCCCGGCCGTTGAATTATCGCGAAGCGGGCTTCGTCCGAGGTGTCGCCGTTCTCGCCCTCGATTACCATCTCCTGCGTTTATTTTATTTCTTTTTTTTTAACTCCTCTTTATCTCTTGCCCTGCGATTCTCTCGACACGAAAAGTGCCGGTGGAAGAAAGGATCGATTGGAAAGGAAGAGGGGATCTATCTTCACTTCTTGGCTTTGATTTGTTGAAGAGATGTAACTTATTCGGATATTCGGAATCGTGGAAATTAATTTCATTTACGAACATTGTTAGGATAATCGTTATCTAGGAAGCTGAAATATTTTCGAAACTATCTGTAGAATGTTTATACGTACAATTATTATCTTAAATATTTGAATACGAAGTTACAAATTATAGTTATATAAATTTTTATTGTCTACTGCTGATGCATCGAGGTTTAAATATAGATCGTTGTTTTGGATTGTATGTGATAAACGAGTGTGTAAATAGGCGTTTCTTTTTAGATTAACCAATCAGATCCGCGTTAATTCCACGAGATTTTTTTTCATCAGTGAATAGTAGGTTTAAAGCGAAGTTTTGAGTGACGAATTGTCATCATGGTCGCTTCGATTTTCAGCAACAATGCGAAGAATTGTGGGAAATTTAGGTGTTAATGAAATTTTGAAATTGTAATGTTATAATCTGATTGCTTTTATCTTAAAATTGTTTGACTAAGATACGAAGAAATCGAGTATTACGGGATTAAATATTATTGAAATTCTGAAAATAGCGTTGAACGAACGCAGCAAGTTCCGAGCATCGAGTCGTAAGATTCGATTTTAAAGTTGCCAGTAATGAAAAAGTCAATATTAAGGAACGTAATTTTAGACGTGATTCTTGATAGAAATTGTAAAAATACCAAATTGAATTATTGATTCCAAAACGAATATTTTCGATAGCCGATGATCCGATTGCTTTTATCTTAAAATTGTTTGAAGAAATCGAAGAAATCCAAAAATGACCGAAATTTTAAAAACACGAATGAATGTTGCCTCTAAAAAATACTTTTTAGAGAATTAATACGAATAAATAAATTGACAAATCGGATGGAAATTCTAGAAATCTTGGCAAAAAAAAAAAAAAAAAAAAAAGAAAAAAATTGTAAAAATCTGACAAAAGAGTTAAAAATTATAATTAGAGGATAGAGGATCGGATGTGAAAAATAAACAGAATCTGTTAGGCCTCTGGTAAACGTTAAAGTATTTATTCACCGGGAACCGGTAAACAAGGAAATTCACGGCAACTTGGTTTTTTTCTTATCTTGATTCGCAAGAACATCTTGGTCCCTTCCCCGATGTTTTGCCAGGGAACCCGTTACATCGTCTCCACGCCATGACTCGATGATGAGACCCCGATGAGATCGAAGGAACAACAGGTGCGAGAGGAAGGAAAATTTTTTGCCTCGTCGCGATAAATGATTTGTTCGTTTGGCGAGACTCGACAGGAGAGTACCGGTTTCTTCTTCCCGAACACGATTTTCGTGTAGTTGGAAGATCAAAGAGGTGGACTGGTTCTGCGTCCCCGTGTTTTTTCATCGAACGGAGACGAATTAAGTGGGAATTTCGAGAGAAAGTAACGGGATTCATCGTATTATTCATCATTCGAACGATTTCGATCCAAACGTGCGACAACGTTTGTTTAAAATCTCGAAACGATTTCTTAAATCAATCGATCGAGGAAGAAATAATCGAAGAAATGGAATTCCCTTTGCACTCTTTAATTTCTTCTTTTTTCTTTCTTCACCTAGCAACAACAACTCCTCGATTCATCTACAAAAAAAAGGATCTCAATAAAATATTGCGTAAACTATCGCAAAGTTTTATTTGAAAGAGAGAAAGAAAAAACATTTTAAATTAAAAGCTGTTTGTATAATGAGCCACGTTGCTCGACATCCTAAGGGTTAAGCTTTCTTCGACCACGGAATTCCATCTGGTCGTAATTAACCAAGGACAAACGAACGATCTTTCGGTTGTTGCTTATCTCGCGCTCACAATAACCGCGATCTCGCCTCGAACGGCGAGAAAGAAAAAAAAGAAGAAGAAGAAGAAGAAGAAGAAGAAAGAAAAATTCATACGAAGAGAATGGTAATCGAGGTCGATCCTCTTATTCATCGCACAGGTGGAGGCGCGCAACAACCATTATGTAAGTCGATCCTCTCTCCTCGAGCTGTTTGAATCGAGCTTTTTATTAGCCGGACGATTCTCTTTCCCTCTCGTTCGGCCGTTCGCGGTCGAACCGCGCTCCCGATGCTGTTACATACCGCGAAGACTCGGTTGCGGTGTCCGAACCGAGAAAAAGGGAAGGAACGATCGAGTCGCGCTCTCTGAGAGACAGAGAGGAATGGACGGTTAACCAGCCGAGCGAGAGGATTGCGCGCGCGTTATGAAATCATCCAGGCGGCCTTGCCTCCGCGAAAGTTCATTACCATCAACCGCACACGCTCCGACGAGCACCTGGCTTTCCGCTCCTCGCCTCCTATCGCGTGCACCAAATTCTACACTATGTGTCTTCCAAGGTCGCGGTTAGACTGCACCGCAACCACCGTCCGAGGAATCCTCCCCTCCTATTTCAAGTAAGAGGAAACGACTCTTCGAAAGGATCCTTTGGAAAGGATCTTTGGAAGGAATTCATCGAAAACTCGTCCTGTTTGAAGTAGCGACGATTCTTTTTTAAACTTTTTTCTAATATCGGTTACCTTTCTTGAAAAACTTTCTCGAGTAAACTAGTCTCGAGTAAAATGATTAAAGGATCCAAGGATCTCTTTCGATCTCTCTGATGGTTTAATTGCTGGTTTAATTGAAACTAAACCTGTTACTTTTCGCTATTCGCATTCATGAAATACAAATACGGTTGACATACATCGGCAATTAAAAGGTG